TGTGTGTGTGTGTGTATCCGTGGATTTGAGATCACTCACTCCCTCAAGCTGATACATACATACATACATACATACATACATACATACATACAGACATTCACACATACATACGTGTACTGTATGTGTGTGTGTGCGCTTGTGAGTGTTTGCTTGTTTGTTTGTCTGTTTGTTTTGTTTACATTTGTATTTTTGTGTGTGTGTGTTGTAAGTGATGTAGATGGTCTGTGTGAGAGGGATGGGGGAGGGAAGGAAAATAAACATAGGGGTATTTATGTGCGTTCAAGAATACACACACACACACACACACACACACACACACACACACACAGTTATATAATTTTTACTGTTGTTGTTATTATTCGTGTCAATATTTAACACAGCTCACATAATCATTATTTATTTTCTTCTCTTTTGTACTTCAATATTTGTTTCTCCTCTTTAATTTCGCTTTATGTTTTAACAAGTTTATGTTATGGAATAATTATTCAGCTTCTTATCTTTCTAAATAACATATAATTACAGTTAATCCTCTTGGGAACATAAGGCAGATATAGTGTAAGATAAATAACAGATAATGTTAATATCCAGTCCTCCATCATTGCATGTGAAAAATGGTAGGATTGTGACCTGGATCCTGTGAATGTTTTGAAAGTAGTGGATGTTGGTGGATGCTTTTTAATACTTGAAATTAATGTACAGTCACTCCAAAAAACTATCTGTACTCGGGGTGATCGATGACTTTCATAATGATCACTGCGACTCCTGTTGTCTCGGTAGGGTTGTCGAAATTCTTCGTCCGTTGTGTCATATTTTTTCCAACACAGTTTTGTATAGATATTATTTTTGTTTTGTGATTGTACTTATAGACGAGTGACATAGTGATTGTTTTTATTAAGTTAAGAGGCAGATTATTGGTTAATGGTTTCAAGTTAAAGACCAGATTTGAATTTACACATTTCATTTAGCCATTAGGTGACACACTGTACAGCCCTGTAAATGAATTCAACGCATATTTTATCATTATGTCTAAATCAAATGTAAGTCTGTATATTTTCAACCACCGGCTACAACTCTATTAATAAACCGTTTGTTATTATTATTATTATTACACACACACACACACACACACACACACACACACACACACACACACACACACACACACACACACACACCTCCCTCGTTTCGGTTTCGGTTTCAATTCTATTTCTCAATTTTGGATTCCGATTCCATTTAGAGATTACAGGTTTCAAGTCCATTTACAGATTAGTGTGTTTCATATATATCCATTTAGAGATTATAATGAAGTCAAACGCGTTACCACCCCCACACCCCCTACCCCCCCTACCCCACCCCTACCGACACATCTCTCCACCCCACCCCCCAAAAATAAGCGAATAATAAAATAAAAGTGTAGGCTTGTCCCTTGTCTTCCTCCGCAGACACGAATTTCAAATGGTATTGCCGCTTCCCCCCTGACCTCTCTCTCTCATTGCTCCCCTGCCCTGTTGCTCTTCCTCCCTTTCATTGATCCATTGCCGTCTTCCCTTCCTTCTCTTCCTCCTCCTTCTCCTCTTCCTCCTCCTCCTGGTACTTGGGACGCATCTGACTATCATGGCAGGAACTTTGACAAAAACTGGGGAGAAACAGAGGCAGAAGAAGAGGAGGAGGAAGAGAGGAAGAAGAGGAGGAGGAAGAAGAAGAGGAGGATAAAATTAGCATATTACGGGCCACTGGTATCACCGACACGGAAACCCCATCTGATTTGCTTGCGATGGCGTTCACTTTCCCGAGAGTGAAGAGTAAAATTTTCACGGGATGAGAGAGAGAGAGAGAGAGAGAATTGTCAAAGAAAATGCTTAAATTAATGAACGATTGTTGTTCATATATTAAATCCGTAAATAATTAACCTGGTTGTCCTTAAATACACATTAGTGGGCTCACCAATGTACCTTGATGGGTCGAGTCAGGTGTTGAGAGATGACGGGAGGTGTGTGTGTGTGTGTGAAACAGGTAGGAGCACTTTTTACCCCACAATTACGACAAAAACTCCATCTTACAACCCTTTGAGAATTGAAACACTGGTGACGACCCTTGTCATTCTGTTTGACACGATAATAATACTTGTATACTCAAATGAAAGTTGATTATGTAGATGTGGCAAATAAAAAACAACATATTGAATTCTGTCTGGCAGGTATACGATTAGTGTAAAAATAACATACTTTTTTATTTCTCAGTACGAACCAACGTTAAAATTAATGAATAAACTGTAAAAATATAAACTGTGAATCACTGTACACGTCAAGCGGCTAGTGATGATACCGTGTAGTGATGATACCGTGTAGTGATGATACCGTGTAGTGATGATGCAGTGTAGTGATGATGCAGTGTAGTGATGATACCGTGTAGTGATGATAACTTGTAGTGATGATACGGTGTAGTGATGATAACTTGTAGTGATGATAACTTGTAGTGATGATAACTTGTAGTGATGATACCGTGTAGTGATGATACGGTGTAGTGATGATACCGTATAGTGATGATACCGTATAGTGATGATACCGTATAGTGATGATACTGTAGGGTCGCGGTATTGATATTAATAATGGCAACTGATAACGCTTATACATATAATGCTGTCAAGAGCAATAATGAAGTTTGGTGGAGATATGACGTCAGGAGATCAATATTAATTTCATTAGGTGGGACGCGGGAGACAGACAGAGGCTTTGAGGGTTATATTCTGTACTCGAGGGTAGGATTCCTTTCATGTATGTCCCTGTTATAACTAATCTGTGTGGTGACAGCTGCTCCTCATCATTCAATCATACAGCAAGGATGTGACCGTGTGGGGGGGAAGGATGTGTGTGTGTGGGGTGGTGAGGATGTGCGGGTGGGAGGGGATGTGTGTGTGTGTGTGTGTGTGTGTGTGTGTGTTTGTACCCTGAAGCATCATGAGGTCTTGTATTGCTGGATATAGGTTGGCTTTGTGTGCTTCCCCCTCACCTCCCCCACCCTCCTCTCTCCCCACCCCACCCTTTCCCCCCTTCCCCATCCCCCACCTTAACCTCCCCACTCTCCCCATCCCCTCCCCCTCCTGTTCGCTCCCCTCCCTCCTCCTGTCCCCCTCCCCCCTCCTCCACCCCCGTGTGTAAGCTGAAGGTAGTGAATGGTCTCATCATTAGATTAAGCCGCAAGACACAGCCACGCCAGCCAGGCCAGGGAGCGGCTAGTATTGACCAGGACCCACTAGGAGCGGCTAGTATTGACCAGGACCCACTAGGAGCGGCTAGTATTGACCAGGACCCACTAGGAGCAGCTAATATTGACCAGGACCCACTAGGAGCAGCTAGTATTGACCAGGACCCACTAGGAGCGGCTAGTATTGACCAGGACCCACTAGGAGCAGCTAATATTGACCAGGACCCACTAGGAGCAGCTAGTATTTACGAGGACACACAAGGAGCATTTGCCTTTGAATAGTCCAGACGGGTAGCAAACTGTAGGACCTGATCAGAATGGGAGCGAGTAGTATCGACCAGACCAGAATGGGAGCGAGTAGCATCGACCAGATCAGAATGGGAGCGAGTAGTATCGACCAGACCAGAATGGGAGCGAGTAGTATCGACCAGACCAGAATGAGCAGTAGTACGACCAGACCAGAATGGGAGTATCGACCAGATCAGAATGGGAGCGAGTAGTATCGACCAGACCAGAATGGGAGCGAGTAGTATCGACCAGACCAGAATGGGAGCGAGTAGTATCGACCAGACCAGAATGGGAGCGAGTAGTATCGACCAGATCAGATTGGGAGCGAGTAGCATCGACCAGATCAGAATGGGAGCGAGTAGTATCGACCAGACCAGAATGGGAGCGAGTAGTGTCGACCAGACCAGAATGGGAGCGAGTAGTGTCGACCAGACCAGAATGGGAGCGAGTAGTATCGACCAGACCAGAATGGGAGCGAGTAGTATCGACCAGACCAGAATGGGAGCGAGTAGTATCGACCAGACCAGAATGGGAGCGAGTAGCATCGACCAGATCAGATTGGGAGCGAGTAGTATCGACCAGATCAGACTTTTAAATAAAAAAGTACTGAGTAGACATCATCGACCATATCAAACAGATAGCAGAAAGTAACGACCCGACCAGATTGGTAGAAGATAGTATCGACCAGACCTGGCTGGGACGCGCAGGAGCTAAAATGGCCAGATGCGGCCTCTAATTGCACAGTAATTTACCTGATAAATTCTGTCTCTTGTGGTATAAGGGAGTTGGTTGACCTGGTGGTGAGTTGGTGGTGGTGGAGTGGCTGGCAGCTATGGTTTTCTGTTGTCTAACACTGAAGACCCATGGACAGGATTATTGCTGTAACGATTATTATTATTATTATTATTATTATCATTATTATTATTATTATTATGAGTAAGTGAGAGTGTATGAGTGAGAGTGTGGGAGAGAGTGTGTGAGTGAGATTGAGTGTATGAGTGAGAGAGTGTATGAGAGTGTGTGAGAGTATGAGTGAGTGAGAGTGCGTGAGTGAGAGAGTGTGTGTTTGTGAGTGAGAGAGTGTGTGTTAGTGAGAGAATGTATGAGTGTGGGTGAAAGAGTGTGTACGAGTGAGAAAGTATGAGAGAGAGTGCATGAGTGAGAGAGAGCGAGAGTGCATGAGTGAGAGAAAGCGAGAGTGCATGAGTGGGAGAGAGCGAGAGTCCATGAGTGAGAGAGAGCGAGAGTGCATGAGTGAGAGAGAGAGAGTGCATGAGTGAGAGAGAGCGAGAGTGCATGAGTGAGAGAGAGCGAGAGTGCATGAGTGAGAGAGAGCGAGAGTGCATGAGTGAGAGAGAGTGGAAGATTTTAGGAAGAAAGAAAAAAATCCTTCCATGCAAACCTTATCGGTGATGAATTCCTCGGTTCTAATTACTCCCCACACAGACTCATCCTTCACTACAGGAGTCTTATTTCATAATCCTATTACTTCACAGCGTTGACTCCTATCACACTCTGTGCCTATGTGTCCAGTTCTTGTTGGAGTGTGAGGTCTTGAGTGTGTGTTGAGGTGAGGTCTTGGAGGTGTTGAATGAGGTTTGGGTGAAGGAATGTGAGGTCTTGGGTATGTTGAATGAGGTCTTGAGTGTAAGGTTGGAGTGTGGAGGTCTTGAGTACATGCTGGAGGGAGGTCTTGAGTTCGTGTTGGAGGGGAGGTCTTGAGTGCATGTTGAGTGTGAGGTCTTGAGGTATGCGGAGGAGGTTCTGAGGTTCAAAGGAGCAGGAGGTCTTGGAGTGCATGTTGGAGGTGGAGGTCTTGAGGGGGTGTTAGAGGTAAGGTCTTGAGTGCATGTTGGAGGTGGAGGTCTTGAGGTGGTGCTGGAGGCAGAGGCCCCTGGAGTTCTCTGGTGGGCCAGAGTGTGAGGTCTTGAGTGTGTGATGGAGTGTGAGGTCTTGAGTGTATGCTGGAGTGTGAGGTCTTGAGTGTATGCTGGAGTGTGAGGTCTTGAGTTCGTGTTGGAGTGTGAGGTCTTGAGTGCATTTTGGAGTGTGAGGCAAGACCACACCTGGCGAATTATGACGGCAGAAGAGTGAGGAAATGTAATGGAAGGTGAGTAAGGTGTTGACTTCAAGGAGACAGAACTGAGTGTGTGAGTGAGTGTGTGTGGTGAGTGTGTGTGTGTGTGTGTGGGGTGAGGTGTGTGAGGGAGTGAGTGAGTGAGGATGTTCAATCACTAGTGGGTACAGGTTTTGAGGGGTCGAGATTAATGTGGGGGGTGGTGGATGGGGAATGAGGGGAAGGTGGATGGAAATGAGGGAAGGTGGATGGGGAATGAAGGGCAATGGTGGATGGGGAATGAGGGAGAAGTGGATGGAAAGGGGGGGGAAGGTTGAGGGATCAAATGAGGGGGAAAGTGGATGGGGAATGAAGGATGGAAATGAAGGGGAGAGGAGGAGGACTGACGGTTTGTGATGGGGAATATTAAGAGTTGTGTGAAGGTGAAGAGGATGAGGTTGTGAGACTTGAGGCCGAGGGTGTGAGCATGAGGTATAAGTTAAGTGTCAGGGAGTGAAGTGTGAGGAGAAACTTGAGTGTGATGAGGGAGGGGTGGGGGAAAATGGGTGTAGAGGGTCTGAGGGTGGGGGTGAGGTGAGGGAGGTGAGGGGGGTAGGGAGGGTGAGGGTGAGGGTGGGTGTGAGTGAGGGAGGGTGAGGGTGGGAAAAATGGGTGTAGGGGTCTGAGGGTGGGTGTGAGTGAGGGTGGGGGAAAATGGGTGTAGAGGGTGAGGGGTGGGGGTGAGTGAGGAGGGTGAGGGGGGTGGGGAGGTGAGGGTGGGTGTGAGTGAGGGAGGGTGAGGGGTGAGAGTGAGGGAGGGTGAGGTGAGGTGGGTGAGGTGAGGGAGGGTGAGGGTGAGAGTGAGGGAGGGTGAGGGTGTGAGGGTGGGTGCAGGGGGGAGGTGGGGGTGAGGGAGGAGGTGAGGTGAGGGAGGGTGAGGGTGTGAGGGTGGGTGAGTGAGGAGGGTGAGGGTGTGAGGTATGCTGATAAATCATTATGTGAGGAGGCTGTGGCGCCTCTCCTCCACCAACAACATTCACAACTAAATTACTCGCTTATCTCCCTGCAGAGCCTGACGGGCTACCTCACCCCTGTAGCTCAGCCTGCCTCCCAGAGAGCCTGACGGGCCTACCTCACCCCTGTAGCTCCAGCCTGCCGCATCCCGGGGCTACCCAGAGCCTGACGGGCCTACCTCACCCCTGTAGCTCAGCCTGCCGCATCCCGGGGCTACCCAGAGCCTCACGGGCCTACCTCACCCCTGTAGCTCAGCCTGCCGCATCCCGGGGCCACGAGCCCGACGGGCCCACTCACCCCAGGCTCAGCCTGCCGCATCCTGGCCACCAGCCTCACGGCCCACTCACCCCAGCTCAGCTCTGCCGCATCCCGGGGCTACCCAGAGCCTCACGGGCCTACCTCACCCCTGTAGCTCAGCCTGCCGCATCCCGGGGCTACCCAGAGCCTCACGGGCCTACCTCACCCCTGTAGCTCAGCCTGCCGCATCCCGGGGCTACCCAGAGCCTCACGGACCTACCTCACCCCTGTTGCTCAGCCTGCCGCATCCCGGGGCTACCCAGAGCCTCACGGGCCTACCTCACTCCTGTAGCCCTAGCTGTCCACGCCGCCACACGCCCTGCAGACAGTAACTAACATCCAAGTGTTCTTAGACACTCAGACTTAGCTGCCAGAGGCTTTCAGGCGCCGTACAGACCAGACTCATATACACACCGACCAACCCTACAGACCCGGCTGTTTCTACTCGTCATAGACCTCAGGTAATTAACGCGTTACGGTCTACTAATTATAATCCTAAGTGTCGTTGACCTACAGGAACTTGGGTTATTGTTATTTGAGGTACAGGTGTCTTGTAGACCTAACCTGTGGCCACACGCGCCTTATGAAAATTGTCTTCTGACGACCTCGAGGCTTCTGGTCTCTAAATCTATTTTGGCTTCGTAGAACAATCACAGGAGGCTTTACAAAGAGCTCTAGTACCCCGGGTGTGTCAGGACCTATACGTCGGCGTGTGAAGCATGAAGCCACTGGAGCTTGTAAGGGGACCATCAGATGACTCCCACAAAGACTCGTTTTCATTAGTGGCAACCAGACCCGGGGGGGGTGGGGTGATGGAGAGCGGCAACATTAGTTAGTTAGCTGCTGGGCACCGTGTTAACGGTACTTGTCCTCCTCTTTTTCACACTGAGAGTAGAATTACTCTCTCTCTCTCTCTCTCTCCTGGTGACACAGGTGTTGAGAGCCCCACTACTCGCCGTCAACAAAGGCCTCAGAGTCGCCTCCCCCCGCACCTGCAAGATCTTAAGAGCATTATCTGGCCTATTGGATCTCTTTGACCCCCGCGCTGTTTCCTCCCTCGTCAGAAGGGGAGAATGTTTCAGGTATCTCGCTAATGCCTTCCCGCGGGGCACTCCTTGTGATAGGCGGATCACGCGCTGTGGAACATATTCGCCCCTCCATAAACTTCAAAGGCCTCGTGTACCCTTAGAACCGCCCCCCCCCCTTCCCCTAGCTCTCGTAGCGTTGTCCTTGTTATTCACGGACGATAAGTTGATTCGCTATAACATCAGAGTAACGTATAACTATCATTTCGTGTGTGGGTGGCTGGCTGGTTCACTGGCTGGCTCGTTCACTGGCTGGCTGGCTGCGATGATTGTATACACATTTTCCCGCACCAGGTTACCCCTCGATTATTTTTATAGGGTCTGGTACACAAAGGGGGGTTAAGGCTTTGTTGCACACGTGATGTTCCTTATGTCTTCGTCCCTTTCATCTGTGACGTCTTTACCTTTTGATTGTTCTATGTGGACGAAGGAGACGTATCCCCTGTGTGTGTGTGTGTGTGTGTGTGCTCAATTACTTCACCTGTATCTAGACAACTGCTAACCCTTGTGAGTAAACGCTTCTGCGGACACAGGACTTTTAATAACATAATCTCTCTAAGCTGACGTCATAGGTAGTTTATCCTTGTAATTGAACTTCTTGTAATTAGTTTTGACTCGTTTGCTGATTAGGGATTTAAAAGCAAACTAATTTATTTTTGTTTGTTTGTTTGAATGGTTGTGTAAGGGATGTTGAATGTAATATGTGGAAAAATGTTAAGAGCGTTTGGAGGATTCTCTTGTGAACATTTTATTGAGGTAACAGTGATAGGTTGTTAGCAAGGGAAGTGTTTGTGTTGGTGTTACAATCTTATCTCTGTTTGTGTTGGTGTTACGACCTTATCTCTGTTGGTGTTACGATCTTATCTCTGTTTGTGTTGGTGTTACGACCTTATCTCTGTTGGTGTTGGCGTTACGACCTTATCTCTGTTTGTGTTACGATCTTATCTCTGTTTGTGTTGGTGTTTATCTCTGTTGGTGTTACGATCTTATCTCTGTTTGTGTTACTATCTTATCTCTGTTGGTGTTACGATCTTATCTCTGTTGGTGTTACGACCTTATCTCTGTTTGTGTTACGACCTTATCTCTGTTTGTGTTACGATCTTATCTCTGTTGGTGTTACTATCTTATCTCTGTTTGTGTTACGACCTTATCTCTGTTGGTGTTACGATCTTATCTCTGTTTGTGTTACTATCTTATCTCTGTTGGTGTTACGATCTTATCTCTGTTTGTGTTACTATCTTATCTCTGTTTGTGTTACTATCTTATCTCTGTTGGTGTTACTATCTTATCTCTGTTGGTGTTACTATCTTATCTCTGTTTGTGTTACTATCTTATCTCTGTTTGTTCTACTATCTTATCTCTGTTGGTGTTACTATCTTATCTCTGTTGGTGTTACTATCTTATCTCTGTTGGTGTTACTATCTTATCTCTGTTTGTGTTACTATCTTATCTCTGTTTGTGTTACTATCTTATCTCTGTTGGTTATCTTATCTCTGTTTGTGTTACTATCTTATCTCTGTTTGTTCTACTATCTTATCTCTGTTGGTGTTACTATCTTATCTCTGTTTGTGTTACTATCTTATCTCTGTTTGTTCTACTATCTTATCTCTGTTGGTGTTACTATCTTATCTCTGTTTGTGTTACTATCTTATCTCTGTTTGTTCTACTATCTTATCTCTGTTGGTGTTACGATCTTATTTCTGTTTATGTTGGTGTTACGATCTTATCTCTGTTTGTGTTACGACCTTATCTCTGTTGGTGTTGGTGTTACGACCTTATCTCTGTTGGTGTTGGTGTTACGACCTTATCTCTGTTTGTGTTTGTGTTACGACCTTATCTCTGTTGGTGTTACGATCTTATCTCTGTTTGTGTTGGTGTTACGACCTTATCTCTGTTTGTGTTACGATCTTATCTCTGTTTGTGTTGGTGTTACGATCTTATCTCTGTTGGTGTTACGATCTTATCTCTGTTTGTGTTTGTGTTACTATCTTATCTCTGTTGGTGTTACGATCTTATTTCTGTTTATGTTGGTGTTACGATCTTATCTCTGTTTGTGTTACGACCTTATCTCTGTTGGTGTTGGTGTTACGACCTTATCTCTGTTGGTGTTGGTGTTACGACCTTATCTCTGTTTGTGTTTGTGTTACGACCTTATCTCTGTTGGTGTTACGATCTTATCTCTGTTTGTGTTGGTGTTACGACCTTATCTCTGTTTGTGTTACGATCTTATCTCTGTTTGTGTTGGTGTTACGATCTTATCTCTGTTGGTGTTACGATCTTATCTCTGTTTGTGTTTGTGTTACGATCTTATCTCTGTTTGTGTTGCGATCTTATCTCTGTTTGTGTTGGTGTTACGACCTTATCTCTGTTGGTGTTACTATCTTATCTCTGTTTGTGTTGTTGCCGACCTTATTCTGCTGGTGTTGCTCTTATCTCTGTTTGTGTTACGACCTTATCTCTGTTGGTGTTACGATCTTATCTCTGTTTGTGTTACTATCTTATCTCTGTTGGTGTTACGATCTTATCTCTGTTGGTGTTACGACCTTATCTCTGTTTGTGTTACGACCTTATCTCTGTTTGTGTTACGATCTTATCTCTGTTGGTGTTACTATCTTATCTCTGTTTGTGTTACGACCTTATCTCTGTTGGTGTTACGATCTTATCTCTGTTTGTGTTACTATCTTATCTCTGTTGGTGTTACGATCTTATCTCTGTTTGTGTTACTATCTTATCTCTGTTTGTGTTACTATCTTATCTCTGTTGGTGTTACTATCTTATCTCTGTTGGTGTTACTATCTTATCTCTGTTTGTGTTACTACGATCTTATCTCTGTTTGTGTTACTATCTTATCTCTGTTGGTGTTACGATCTTATCTCTGTTTGTGTTACTATCTTATCTCTGTTTGTGTTACTATCTTATCTCTGTTGGTGTTACTATCTTATCTCTGTTGGTGTTACTATCTTATCTCTGTTTGTGTTACTATCTTATCTCTGTTTGTTCTACTATCTTATCTCTGTTTGTGTTACTATCTTATCTCTGTTGGTGTTACTATCTTATCTCTGTTGGTGTTACTATCTTATCTCTGTTGGTGTTACTATCTTATCTCTGTTTGTGTTACTATCTTATCTCTGTTTGTGTTACTATCTTATCTCTGTTTGTGTTACTATCTTATCTCTGTTGGTGTTACTATCTTATCTCTGTTGGTGTTACTATCTTATCTCTGTTTGTGTTACTATCTTATCTCCGTTGGTGTTACTATCTTATCTCTGTTTGTGTTACTATCTTATCTCTGTTGGTGTTACTATCTTATCTCTGTTGGTGTTACGATCTTATCTCTGTTTGTGTTACTATCTTATCTCTGTTGGTGTTACGATCTTATCTCTGTTTGTGTTACTATCTTATCTCTGTTTGTGTTACTATCTTATCTCTGTTGGTGTTACTATCTTATCTCTGTTGGTGTTACTATCTTATCTCTGTTGTTGTTACTATCTTATCTCTGTTGGTTTTTTCATCTTATCTCTGTTTGTGTTACTATCTTATCTCTGTTGGTGTTACTATCTTATCTCTGTTTGTTACTGTCTTATCTCTGTTGGTGTTACTATCTTATCTCTGTTGGTGTTACTATCTTATCTCTGTTGGTGTTGCTATCTTATCTCTGTTTGTGTTACTATCTTATCTCTGTTGGTGTTACTATCTTATCTCTGTTTGTGTTACTGTCTTATCTCTGTTGGTGTTACTATCTTATCTCTGTTAGGTACTATCTTATCTCTGTTGGTGTTACTATCTTATCTCTGTTGGTGTTCTTATCTCTGTTGGTGTTACTATCTTATCTCTGTTGGTTGTTACTATCTTATCTCTGTTGGTTGTTTACTATCTTATCTCTGTTTGTTACTGTCTTATCTCTGTTGGTGTTACTATCTTATCTCTGTTGGTGTTACTATCTTATCTCTCTGTTATTTACTATCTTATCTCTGTTGGTGTTACTATCTTATCTCTGTTGGTGTTACTATCTTATCTCTGTTGGTGTTATATCTTATCTCTGTTGGATTTACTATCTCTTTATCTCTGTTGGTGTTACTATCTTATCTCTGTTTGTGTTACTGTATCTCTGTTGGTGTTACTATCTTATCTCTGTTGGTGTTACTATCTTATCTCTGTTGGTGTTACTATCTTATCTCTGTTTGTGTTACTGTCTTATCTCTGTTGGTGTTACTATCTTATCTCTGTTGGTGTTACTATCTTATCTCTGTTGGTGTTACTATCTTATCCTGTTTGTATTTACTATCTTATCTCTGTTGGTGTTACGATCTTATCTCTGTTTGTGTACTATCTTATCTCTGTTGGTGTTACGACCTTATCTCTGTTGGTTGTTACTATCTTATCTCTGTTTGTGTTACGATCTTATCTCTGTTGATGTTACTATCTTATCTCTGTTGGTGTTACTATCTTATCTCTGTTTGTGTTACTATCTTATCTCTGTTGGTGTTGATCTTATCTCTGTTTGTGTTACTATCTTATCTCTGTTGGTGTTACGACCTTATTTCTGTTGTTGTACTATCTTATCTCTGTTGGTGTTACGACCTTATCTCTGTTTGTGTTACTATCTTATCTCTGTTGGTGTTACTATCTCTTATCTCTGTTGGTGTTACTATCTTATCTCTGTTT